CACATGCACACTTGTGAACTCCAATTTTGGCTTCCGGGAATGGCATGAGAAGAGAGTGGGAAAGGGAGGGGAGATGGGGGGAATGTAGGGGTGCTTTTACAGCAGAACCATCACAAACCATCTGAGGATAGCACATAACTGTTTACACACATGACTGTATACTGAACATGTGCATACGTTTCACTTATGCATATGTATAGAGAGAAACTTAATACAGATAGAACTGTAGTGTACATGTTTCTCATTCAGTTTTGTCATACTTAAAACACTTTGTCTTCTGTTTCACAGTAATTCAATGCACTCCCCTAAAAAAGAGGTGGCTAAGTAACTGCCATTATCATCACGATGATAAATGAATAATAATTACAGCATGATTAACTTTTCTAACCTTTTTATGAATTTCAAATATAATCAAAAATACAGTTAGTCCTCCAGTTTCAGATCCATAAGACATGTTAATTTGTGTAGTGGGCACTACTTCAAAGATACAGGTACTTGTAAACAAACTGAGACCTTCCTCTTTGTTCTGTTCAATCAGATTGATTAATGACTACAGTAACTTCTCTGGATTATCATCATCACTCGGAGCAGCCCTGTTAGTAGACCTCATAAAGGTTTTTGGCTATATAATAGGTGTGTTTTTAAAGCTACATTAACACATTTATTAACCATCCAAGGGTTTCTGTGTTGGACTATGAGGATGTTGCATAAAGTTATTTTGATGCTGTTTTGTTTGTGATGAGTGACAATGCACATGTCGACATGATTTATCTAGGCTGTTTTTTTTTAAAGCTGCACATTTTGAGATCAGAATCAGCTTTATTCTAAATATTTTTATTACTGCTTTAAAATTTTAGAATATAGATTTTTTGAAGATTATTTCTCCTTACTTTCAACCATTATTATTATTAAAAAAGGTGTATTATACAATTTCAGACAAACAAGCACTGAGCAAAAGAGATGCACATTAATTAGTATAACCCTGCACATAATATAATATAATACTCTTAATTTATTAAAGTTAACATATCAGAGGTTGAAAGCTTCCTGGAAGTGAAACATGAGTTGTACATGAATGTAGCTAAGTGCATGTACTTCAGTACTTGTATTTAAGTCCTTTGTAATGGAGTGCTGTTATGTTATACAGTGTGTAAGTTACAATATACTGCATATACCTGGTTTGCTTTGTTTATGGGTTTTGAGGACTTTTTCTCCTCACACATCACATACAGTACATATGCCTGCATGCACTTTACCAGAACAAGAACAAGAATAGTTTCACGTTTAGTATTAGTTAACATAACATTAGCATTTTATTGCTTCTGTTTGTGCAATAATCAAACAAAACATACTCCGTTCTTTGTTGTTCTCATTTTGGAAGCTCTTATGTTCAAATTAGGTGAAAGTGTGCAAGAGATAATTTATTGATTTATTTACGCCATGTTTGTGTAATACAGCAAAGTTTTTATATATTTAAGCTTGATATAGTAATCAAAAAACATTATCAGGCCACTGAAAAATGTATCTATTTTCACTGACTTTCTCAGTTCAGTGTTTGTGCAGATAAGCACTGCACACTGAGAAATGATCAAAATGACTCCCATTAAGTGAGGAAATAGTACTTTGAAAGCAAAGTCTGGCATTTATTGCTTCTATGTTTTTGCTGAGCTTCCTGGCCCTCTAATATTGACCATGAAGCAAGCAGTAAATGAATCAGGTCAACACATGCTTCCTACCTCTGTATGAAAGTCTCACATGTTCAATTAGCGATAATGTTGAACAGTCACATTTCAGTCATTAGGCATAAGGAGAACTATTTCTGAATTCTTAGAAAGAAGTTTTTACTTGAATCTGAATTTTTTCAAAGTGGAAAACTGTGGTTTGGATAAAATTGAAAATATGTATTCTGGAGAAAAACAAATGTGCGCTGAAAAATACTGTGTATCCTGCTCCCTGTTCATTCTCTTCCTATTTTGGCTTTAGGCACTGTGCATGGTTTGGCTGCAAGGTTGCAAGGGTTGGAGGTCACAGTGTAGCTCTCTCTGTGGGCGTCTGAGATGACTTCTGACCTGTTGAACAGCAGCCAAACTGGCCATCCAACTGGGAGCAGAGAGAACCCCCAGAGGTCAGAGGGGACGCCACAATATGCAAATATATATATATATTCATAAATCCATTTTCTTTTTTTCTTGTATTCTCTTCCTCACTTAATACTCCCATTGCTGCATTTGGACAAATATTACTCACAAACTCTTAGTCCCGTATTTAGCAAAAACAGTGAAGTAAAAGATGTTTATTTTCTTATTGACACCAGTGTCTTTGGAATTCATGCACCTGATTTTAAGAGCTTTCCAGAGCCCAACACATAAATGGCCGTGTAAAAATTCCAATCAAGCAGGAGAAAAGAAAACAACAAAATAGCAGGGAATTGTTTTTCACTTAAAGCAACAGGAATTTCTAAACCTTGTTCCACATTCATCTCTTATCACACACAAGTTGTCTCTATATATTACAAATGCAGTGTTTTTGGTAACCAGTGACACATCTTCTCATTACCACCGCCCCATTTCTTACATTATAGTATTTAATTTAACTCAGTCACATTTATTGCCAAGTATGTCACACACACAAGGAATTTGTCTCCAGTACAGAATCAAGGCAGCCTTCTGTGGCACCAACTCACACACACTGATGGCAATGTTGTTCCTGCAAAGTGTTGACCTAGCCATTGGGAGGAACTGGGGTTCAGGCTCTTGAACTGGTGAGAACAAGAATTGAACCACCAACCACCAAGTTTGGAACGTCCGCTCTGCCTCTTGAGCCACAGCCACCCTAAGGACTAGGTCCCCCCGAGATTATTTTTGCTTCTTCTTGTTTTGTTTTTTGTTTTTTTGCTGGAGGTGAATCACTCTTCTTCGCCATCATCCATGTTTTATTTATCATTTAACACTTGAAGAGACCTTTATCATTTATGTTTGGGAAAAAGAATATATCTATAACAGAAACAATAGGACAAAGCATATGTTGTGGCAGATTTTTCCCTTACACAGCCACCCCACTCCCAGGGCCCCTTTCTCTCCCCTTATCCTTCCTATCCTCCACCCTCTCTCTCTGATCAAGGGTCATTTGCTCAGTTTCCTCAGTGCCTCCCCTGGCCTTTTCTCTGCCTTTCTGAATGGTGAATGTCTACTGGAATCTGATTGGCCAGTGTTTTTACCACCTCCTCTATGTCAAGAGTCAGGAAAACCCCACCCCCCTGTTTACTGGACACTCCTTTCTCTTCCACTGACTCTCCGCCTATTCTTTGGTGCTGGCCCTCCTCTGCAAACAGACGTGTGTTAAACTGCCACCTGGTGGAGTACACATGTCCTTACAATACTGCTTAAAGACTCACTATTCTGCACTATAAACAACATAAAATGAATGTCCTCAACTAAACACCCTAGAAGAAAGTGATAAAAGAATGAGGGCTACATTTTGAAATGGTAGTTTATTAAGATATAGAAGTAGACAAGCAGCTACTTCAAACAAATCTATAAACTTGATCACCTAAGGCTAGAGTGTCACCTAGTGGTTTAATAGTGAAACTACCTCAGAACTCAACGCACAAAGCATTATTATATTTTATGGGCAAAACCTCGTCATACCCAGCAAAAAGACAGAATGGCCTGAAACACAGTCATGTACCACTGTGATGAGATATACATTTTAAAGTGAACAGTGATTATTGAAAGGCAGAAACCATGAATCAAAAACATGAAGAATGGAGATTTTAAGAGGATTTCATTAGTAAATATAGATTCTTCTCAGTGTGAAACCCTGTGTTCAAAGTGTATAAAAAAGATATTACAGATTTTACTTACTGTCAGCACATCCTATCAGAAGATCAAGTCCAGGTGGCTGGTGTGTCTCTGAAACCAAAGACCAATGTAGCTTATTACTTTGCCACAAACCTCTGTTGTTGTCCAAAACACATTGATGAGGCACATTAGTGCATTAGCTGACATGTTTTTATCACGGTGAGCACTGGCACTGCAGTTTATATTGAATCAGTTCAACTCACATCATCCTACTGCTCATTTACTCCTGTTTGAGTAACATTTACTAACTACACTGCCCAGCTAGTTGAGGGAATGACTTTTAGCATATATCATAGTACATATATACCCATTTCAGAGATTTACATTAGCTGTACTAACCTACTGGCTGAAAGCGTCGGGACTTGTTGAACAAACTATAGAATATCACGAGCCTGATCCTTTAAGTAATATGGTGTCTCATCCTGTTTTTGTACATTTTTACTGTCTGTCATTGGAAAGAAACTAAGCTGGATAATTTATTGTCTTTTCTTTAGAAGATTTCAATTAAGTTTTAATTTGGACACATTTTCTATTAGATGTGGTCATGTAGGAGATGTGGATCCATCATCATTTGTCACAATCACAACAACACAGCTCACAATTGCTACAGCCACACATACAGTATTGTAGTATGAGCCTGAGCATTTGTCTGCCTGATGCCAATTCGTCTTACACAGAAACTGATATGATAACTGGTAAAACTATAATTCAATAACAAGGGTTTGATGAACGTGCATTCTCGGTGAGTGTAAGGCCATGTAAAGTGTGATGATGACCCAGCTGATGTGAAGGGGAAGACAAAATTGACATAAATCAGCTCAACAGGAGGATAACAGCACTGCTATCGTATTCCTGGGGAGGAATTCTGAGCTTGACATAAATCAGCTCAACAGGATAACAGCACTGATATCGTATTCCTGGGGAGGAATTCTGAGAATACTGCCAGATTCATGGCACAGAGAAACATGAGGATCAGCAATGTCTTTATGAACTGTTTTGCTTCCTGATTTTGTCTTGATTAGTTTCCTTGGCGTCCACAAAAAATTCATTACAGCACAGACAGATAACCATTTCAGGGAATCTACATTTTAAAACCAAAATATACAATATGAAAATATATGAAAAAAATGTTATTTGTAGAAGACTAAAGCTTATTAAATCAAGAAAACACTGCATATTTTCCAGCAAGTGGACAGGAAAATGGAAATATGAAGAGGCTGCTGGGGTAGAGAAGGATACACAATGAAAACATTAGGAAGAGAGAATTACAGTGGCAGAGAACAAGGTCTTTGAGGGAGTGTTCAAAGAGCCTGGGGAAAGAACAAAGAGAGGGCTTGAGGTATAGGGAAGCCCTCTGTGGATAAGACTCTGGATAAGTGTTGGAAACAGGATCGTAAATCCCAAACCCTATAGCCTGCAAGCTGGGGCCAGGGTCAGGGAGGATGAGCACAAAGAGAAGGGTTGAAGAGAAGTGGGAAGTAAATGATAACACAGACAGACAGACTGAAAATAGAGTGATAAAAGACATCTTAATAGTTGATAGTGAATGATTAATATTAGATGTGATTTGGATACCTGCTCTAAGGCATTATGTTAAATATTCTCTTTGCTAGGAGGTGGGTCTGGACATGGCAACAATGTCAGGGTCATGACGCACGGACCAAATTAATGTACGCCTAGGTTTGTCTCACACCAGGCATTCCTCACATTCTGTCTGCCCAGTATGTGAATACAGCTCCAGTGAGTCATTTATGCATCTAAATACACTATTGACACCTTCAAAATGGGGATGGTGGGTGATGTCATCGGCCCTCCTGTGTGGGCGACCTGGATACTTGTCAAAGCTGAATTGTCCATCAGTTGCTAGACACAGTAATGAATGAAAAAGTCAAAACAGAGAGGTGAAAAGGGGTTTGCTCCAAAGTACTGCCCCTGTGATATGTACCTTTAATGGAAAGTGACACACAGCCTGTGAAAACAGCTGTAGAATGTTCTCCTGGAGGAGCTTCATCAAGTCTGAGGAGGGAAAAAATGTAATGATGTCTTTATAAAGAGTAATAAATGACGCTAGTTAACATTCCCTTGATGACAGGTAAAAACCAGGATAAGACATGACACTACTTCAGCAATAAATCTGGGGAAAGTCTATATTTTTGTTCTTGCCAATACAAAAAAACAAAACCAATAATGTGTTACTCTGTTTCTAGACTTTCAGCGTAGCCTCACACTCAGGCCTTAATTCAGTCTACGCATCCTGCACTTTCCATCATGTACTTATATATGAATGATGGTGTCATTCACTATTTCTTTTCATATTACTGCTTTAACAAAACACCTTCATCTGGTTCATTCACCAGCCCAATTAGGACATACATACTATTTCAAATATATTCTTCAGAGATGGATAATTACTGACTCAGGAATGTGCATTGGCTGAGGCTGGGGATCTATGTGTGTATGTTGGTTTGTACACATGTGTGTGTGTGGGTTATCACAGCACAGGTGACGTATGTTTTCAGTGGGCTTTAATAATGCGGGACAGTGAGTGTGTAGGAAATAAGCTATGCGTCCTGGTGCTGTCCTGCTGTTAAACATGTTGACAACAATGTTTCTGTCAGCGCTCCTGATGCTAGGAGGTCTCAGAGGGGCAACGGCATCTGACCTCCAAGTCTACGGGAAATCAATCCACAGTGATAAAAGTTTGCTGAGCAGCGATGGAGGAAAACACACTGTGAGGAAACCACTACACAAACCGGTACAGTAAGAATCACTTAATTACACATATTCTATTGGGCTGCTTATTTGAAGAGCCACAACATTTAACTGATTAATCAAATGATAAATTGTTTATGTCATGTTTTTCTCATTCCAATTTTGCCAAACTGTGGATTTGATTCTTTTGTCATCTATGATATCAAGATGAATATGTTTGGGTTTGGGGCTTTTGGTTGGATAAAGCAAATAATTTCAAGACATGTCCTTTCTGTCTCTATCTCTGGGAAGTAATAATCAGTATTTTTTCATTATTTTCTAATATTTTAGAGACAAAACAATAATTTGAAAATGAAAATGTTATTTTACCTGCAGCCACTTTGTCACTGTTTTCTGTAAGATAGCAGTGCATCAGACCATTGTGTGAATGGACCAGCCATGTTCTGTTAAAATTGCTCTTACATCTTAAAAACTGTTTCATTAATACTCATTTTGTTCTACATTATCATAAAGCAACTGAAAATGTATGACTGGTTTTATTTCATCTTTTACAAATGGAAAAAAATTGATGACAACTGACAAATTCAGTCAAATGACACTCTTTTACTGTTTTGTATTTTGACAGTGTTTGCCCTGCATATGTCTAGTTGTTATTATTGTTTATTTCACAACTGATTAGCTGATAATTTTTCAATATAAATGAAATATGCCCCTGAGAATCTCCTGGAGCCTAAGGTGACATGTTCAAATTTTGGTCAACAATCAGTCTAAAAGGGTAAAATATTTACTATAATACTTAATATATTTACTATCATACATGACAAAGAAATGCAACAAATGTTCAAATTTGAGAAGATGGAACTAAGAAATGTTTTTACATTTTTGCTTGAAAATTAACTGATTATCATAATAGTGGATTAATTTTCTGTCAGTTTTTTAATCAGTTAATCAACGTATTGTACCATTGTCTCTTGAGAAAAACACACAAAACTGAATTAGAATGCAACATATTTTTGTTTCCAGACACAAAAGGAAATCCGGAGGAGTTTGGATCTCGAGAGCTTCAACATACACGTAACCCCCACCACCAGGAAAACCAACCTCCCGACCATCATCAGGCTCTATCCACCCACTGCTATACCTCTCCACCTGCACGCCAACATGCCATTGCGCTTTGGAAGGGGGAGTGATCCCGGTGACGACAGGGCACCAAACTCAACACCCAACCTGCCCCAGAGGTTTGGAAGGTCCTGGGAGTTTAGTCAAAGGTGTACAAAGTGTCCTCATGTCCGAGATGCGATAAACCCAGTGCTGCCGCAGAGATTTGGGAGAAATATAGCATACTGGAGCCTTCTTAGGACTCTGGCTAATCAACAGTTACTGAACATTGGCTTGCGATGGTAGGCATCTCTTGTTCTTAATGACATTATGAATTTCCAAAAAACAGGTCATAGTGCTTTGTTTTGCAGTTAAAACATGCATGTATTTCATCGGTGCCGTGTCATACATACAATAAGTCATTTAGTATCTTCATTTTCCATCAGTACAGTGAATCATCAGTGCTGTGTCATACATACAATAAGTCACTTGGTATCTTCATTTTCCATCAGTACAGTGAGTCTCTCACCTGCTTATTTCTGTACTTGAGCATGGGAAAATAGATGTCCCATCATGCACTTGGCAAAAGCCAGGCCACCAGTCTATCAGACAGACGGTGTTGTTATTCCAAAATCCAAATCCAGCTGACTTCCAGGCCAGTTTGACACCTGTTTATGAGTTTTGTTTTGAATACTATAAACTATTCTTTTCCCACAGGGCTGAAGACTCAGAAGAGGAGATGGAAGAAAAACAGTTGTAAATGAAAGGGACTATACAGGCTGACACCGAGGTCTACTGCAGAATGTAAACATCAGCATGCAGTGTTTTTACAGTAAAGACAAATGGTTAAAGTCAAATGTTAAAAAGCTTATTGAGTTGAACAATTTAGATTATTTAGTCCTTTTAAATGAAGTTATAGGATATGTGATGGAAAAAACATTTTAAATGATGATAAAAAAAAATTGAGCTTTTTTGTTTGTTTTATAAAACGATGATATTAAATCCACCTTGACCTCAGCATCAAACAGAGGCATGTGCTTTTTATATGACCTCAAACCTCATATATGAGCAATAAATTATGTTGTTAAGACTGAATTCAGCTGAACCACCACCACTCTCACAGACTCTCTCTCTAATTGTGGTTGATGTAATGTGAAATAAACATCTTGAAGTGAAGCATCCACTCCTCTCCAGAATTATTTTTGATTGTGCTGACCATGACTAAGCAGCAGTCTGTTGATAGCTAGTGAACCATTACTAATTTTACAAGTTGTCCCTTTACATGGTGTGATTAAAACCAACATACTGTATCTTAACACGCCCATGCTATGATGAATAACCCACCAAAAATATGTCATAAAAATAGTGTGAATTAAATACACTTAAAACTGTGGAAATAATGTCCTTTTAACAAGCCCCTATGGTTTTTATGCCTTAAGTGTCATGACAGCTATCAGTCATTTAAACTGGTGGATATTTTTATTTGCTTCAGTACAGCCTAAATGATGACTCAGCATATATTTGAAAGAGATCAGTTTTGACATTTGTGACTTTTCCACAATAATGACACTATGTGTTATAAGGAGAGCTGCTCATCGAATGCCCCAGTACAACATAAAGACAGGATAACTAGCAAATCTTCTCATATGTCTGCATTGAAGAGAGCAGACATTTTGACATGTCATAGCAGGAAGTATAATTAGTAACACTGATAGAAACTGCATTCCATTTAGGTGTGGCAGGTCACAGACCAGCTCCATAAACAGTACTGTGCACAAGTCTTAGGCCACCACTGGGCCTGTTATTTTAGCAATGTTATGGTGACTATATTTACACTCTGTATTTATTTCTCAGTCTCTTTATTAGAATACAACTAAAAAATTAATAGTGTTAAAAACACAAAAATGTCAACAAAAATCTACAAACAAATTGTGGTATTCAAACTGTTCTAAAGAAATATGAAGGATCCATTGTCTGTCTCTTAGTGTCGGTCCTGTGATACACTGGCAACCTGTCCAGGGTGTACCCTCACACCCAGTGTCAGCTAGAACTGGCTTCAGCCCTTCCATCACTGTCGTCAGGATAAAAGGCATAAACAATGGATGGATGAAGGATCCACAGAGGTCAAGGACAAAATCAGGAGTGGAATACCAAGAAAACTGTCAAAATTTGATGAGAGGTTTCTCAGAGTTTCATCTTTGAGAGTGTGGAGGAAATCCAACAAGGACCAGGCTCAGCATCTGGCAGCTTCATCTGGATGCTAAGTTGAGCCTTCCATTGTCTGAAGAAGCTTGATCAGGAATGGCCTTTGTGGAAGGAAAGGAGCCAAGAAGTCACTTTTTCAGAAGGGAACAGTGAGAAAAGGCTGAGATATGCAAAAGCTCACAAAGATTGGATTGAAGATCAGTGGAAAAAAGACTTATGGAGTGATGAATTGAAGTTTAATATTTGTGGGTGCACTCATTGACATTATATGCGAGAAGAAGAGATGGAGAGAGCTGGAAAAATAAGAGCTTGAAGTCTTTTTGGAAATATGGTGGAGGGTCATAGTTTCAAGGTTTCAAGACCATCTCCCCAAATGAATTCAAGCTGTGCTAAGTGCAAAGGGCGGTCACATTAAATACTGATTTTGGACTGTAGAAGCCATTTTGTTCTGAAATTATGTATTTTTTAGTCCTGTGTACATATTTCCTGAATTTTCTGATTATGTCTTAATAAAGTGACTGACAAATAAATATAAATATGTTGGCTGGGATCTTTCTAGGTTTTATTTATTTTGGTTATCATATTAATGATATCATGACATGCCATATCATATTATCAAATCATATCTTGATGCATTTGGTCATTTAATTATGAATTTTAATGTCCATAATATCTTTGGACTAACCACACAGCACAAGACACAAGATACATAATGAGCACCAGTATCAAGAGCATAATTGTAACAAACAACAACAACAAATATGCTGTAAATCCACCTATAGTCATCTTAATATGATAATGGATAAAATATTTATTTTGTCTTACAACCATAACTAGGGTTGGCTAGTCCAACCGAGGGGATATAATGTATAGGCCTGGTGGGTTCAGGGTCTTTCATCTTACATCTGCCTG